AACACCCCCCTCTCCTCCGCCTCCCTCCTAGCCCGTTCAATCTGCCCCCTCAAAACAGCCATCTCCCTCTCCTCATCCCCCTTGTCCATCATCTCCCTCCTCCTAACCGCCTCCCTCCTCCTCATCGCCTCAGGACTGTCATCCACCCAAGCAATAAACAACCCATCCTCCTTCTCCACAACCCTACAAATCCCCTCCCGCCCAATGTACTTCACAAACTCCGTCAAGCTATGCCACCTCGTCGCATTCAAATGAACATGATCCTTCTTTGCAATCACCTCCTGATAGAATTTATTCGCGTGAATCTCCTTTTCTCCATGGCTCGTCTTGAGAAGGGAGATAAACTCTTGTTGGAACGCACGGGAGTAATCGTCGGTGACTTGCTTGATGTTTTGCCCTACAGACAGCGCGCGCCGGGTGTGCGATTCGGACTGGCAGTGCATCTTGAAGGCGTTCTCGTCTCTGCAGGCTTTTTCGCAGATTTGGCAGAACCAGCGGAGGCGCGTGAGGCCTTTTTGCTTCATCTTGTTGGAGAGGTATTTGGTTGAGCCGACTTCTGCTTTGCCCATGGTTGATGAAGAAGGGGGAACTCGCTGCGCGCGAGCCGAGCGGAGGTAGAAGGGTAGGTGGGTGGTTTAAATGACGGGAATGGTCGTCGCGATTATTTGACGAGGGTCGAGGACTCGAGGTTTGGTGGGTGATGCGAAAGTCGAGTTTGCGACAGGTTTTGGGAAGCGTGGAAGTTTGAAAGGCGTGAATGCGAGGGGGAAGCAAAGTCGCCCCCACAAGGCTGATTGATTAACTGGCTGGCCTGAAAGGCTCGGCGCCGGAGCTCTTTCACAAACCCTAACCCGATTTTGATCAAGCAAGAGGGCAGAACAGTTACTAAATGATGCTCGCAATATTCACACATAGACACCCGGTTTATCCAAAACCTTCCATGTATGATTCCTTTTAAACATATGCTGTAATAATCCCTTCGAAGTCCACTCCCTCCCTTCCGCACGCCTACCAGGCGCCTCCCTGTCTCTCATCTACAGCCCCTTCCCAAGGTATCACCTCTTGCTCTATCGCACTAATCATCTCTTAAAGCAAACGCCATGCTTTCTTGCCTCAAATTATCAACCCCCGCTCTATCATCTCTAACCCCAGCACCCCCAATCAATCAAGTGCGTGTTCCTGTCTTCACCATTGCCGCCCATGTTAGCTCCTCTGTCCCTTTCTCGGAAAGAGCAAAACTGCAAGGTTGCTTATCGGTTTAGTTCCCATACTCAAGGAAAGTAAACAAGCTCGTGTGCAGGATATTCATGGCCCTCTCAGCATCCCGCGATTCTATCACGCACGAGATGTTGATCTCGCTGGCACCTATACATAGTTCAATCAGTCAGCATATGATATGTCCCACAAGTGCCCTTGCACTCTGAAGGCAAAACATACCCTGAGAAATCATCTCGATATTGATCGAATTCTCACCCAACGTCGAAAACATCTTGCCCGCAATACCCCTCATGTTCTTCATCTCGGCCCCCACCAGACTCAAAATCGTCATGTTGTGAATCACCGTCACATCGCCGCACTCCCTCAGCTCCTCCACAGCCTGGTTCAGGCTGTCATACTCGGAGCTGCCGTTATGTACCGCAATGGAAACATGCACCTCGCTCGTGGAGATCAAATCCACCGAGATACGCCTCTGGTTGAGGATGGAAAACACCCTCGCCAAAAAGGCGTGGGCAATCGACCTCTTGTTCGAGTGGATGTTGAGGATCGAGATCTTGTCCTTGACCGTCACGGCAGTAGGACGCTTCGGCTTCTTGCGGGCCGATGGGTCGGATGGTTTCCTCGGCCGTTGGATCTGCTGGTCGGCGGCCAGGGTAGGGTCTGGCTTGACGATGGTGCCTTCGCCGCGGGGGTTCTTGACGTTCTTGATTCTGATGGGGATTGGGGGCTGGGCCTTGATCACTTGGTCCATGGTCAAGTGGTGGATGACTTCGGAGCCGTAAAAGGTCAACTCGGCGGCCTCGGCTGGGGTGATGGAAGGGATGAGTCTGGCGGTGGGGACCTTGGTAGGGTCGGCGGTGAAGATGCCATCAACTTCCTTCCAGATCTGAAGCTCATCAGCCCTGAGGCCGACAGCAGCCAGGGAAGCGCAGAGATCCGTGTAGCCACGGCCGATGTCACCATCCAAAAGACTTCCAGGGACGTTACCGAAGAAGCCAGTGACGACTGGTACACGGTCCTCACACGCAAGGATCTTCTTGGCAATGACGGCGGTGACTTGACGGTAAAAGCCGGCATCGAGCCGCCCTGGGCTGTCAAGGTGTAGTACGTCAGCCAAGTCAACATACTCGGCATCGACTCCCTATGTCGTGTCAGTATTGTTCACCGGCGCAACCTATCCCTCAACAAAACTTACCCTGTCCTTGAGCAGATAAGTCATAAACCTACAGCTCAGCTTCTCACCAAAGCTCACCACCCTGTCCTTCGCCCTCGAGTTGATCTCCAAATTGAAGCGCTTAGCAGCCAAGAGATACTCATTGAGCAAGTGGCAGTCCTTCTCCGTATACTTCTTCACGGCCACGCTCAGCTCCGCATCCTTGATAAAAGTCTCGGCCGCATCCACATGATCATCCAGTATGTCCTGAACAATGCGCTTGGCCTCCTCCAGTAGCACATCCTGTGACTCCTCATCACCAGCCGAGGCAACAATAGCCCTAAGCTTTTTGTACACCTCCAATAACCTATCCGCGCAACAAACAAGCACGTTGTCAGTCCATCAGGTAAACTTTCAGGTAACAACAACGTGGGGCGTGCCGATCCGGGTGTGTGTGTGATGTGTGGGGGAGAGGGGTCAAGGAAAAGAACACGGGGAATGCGGGATACCCCCAAAAGGGCATGGGAATTTCCAACATTCAGACACATACATGTCTCTCCCCAAACCTGCACATTCTCCCCCGTCCCGCACTCTCACAAGCGGTCTCTCCCGAAAATTGACACCCCCAACCCATACCCCATACCCCATACCCCATACTCGACAGGAAAAAAAATCAAAAATCAAAAACTCACCTGCTCGTGGTCCCCGTCACCTTCTTCCCCGTGCTCCTCGCCGAGCACACCACCACCAGCCGATTATTCTCCACATGCGTCCTGATGATATCCTCCGCAATCCTATCAGGAAACTTGCCCACGCTCGTGCCACCAAACTTTTGCACCACCCACCCGTTCGTGCTGGTGTTTTTCAGTAGCGCTTGGACCATTTTGTCGTTGTGTTTCTAGTGTACCGGCAGGCAAAAAAAATATTGCTTCTTCCGCTTTGCTGACCCTTGCTAGTGAGGGTGACTCAAAAAGACCGTTGGTTTTTGGCGGGGTATTCCTCAAAAATGAAGAGGATAAATAAAACGTCGAGTGAGAAACCGATGAAACGGTCTATATATCTCAACTCAACTCAATTCTCTCTCGGCTGTGTCTCAACAAGACCGGGAAGAAGGATACCACCAAAAAGCGCAATGGCTCCAATGGCTAGGCTGAGGAAAGATATTTGAATGCTGAAGAGGGTGAGTGATGACTCTTCTCTTGTCCCCTGGTCCTGAGTGAAGTGGGGAGGTGTGTAATCTTTAAATATCAACAGTTAGCGCATTGGATGCCATATATAAAAAATTCAATAAAAGAAAAGAACCCTCCCCCCCCCCCCCCGGGGCACGCCCGGCTGCTGCTGTCTGTCCTGAAGAGGTGAGTGAGAACGTGCAGTTCCTCGTGGGGCTTCGGGTGAGACACATATGCCCACTACCTACTACAGTCACATGCTGCGCGGCGGGAGGGGATTGGAATTGGTAGGTTCGGGCAAGTGGAAGTATCCAGATGTTTTCGTGCTCGTGCAATGCGGGATATGACCAACCACCTCGTGAAAATGAAAATGAAGGGGTAGGTGAGGTGCAAGTACCTTTTTTATGTGGTGTATATACTGACACCCCAAAGGTCCAGGCGCAGGTGCCGTAGGTGTAGGTAGGTGGGCGGGCAAAATCCTCGTCCAGTAGTAGCAATTGGTTTTCAATGCAGTTGTTGAAAAAAATAAAGCCACACTCCCAAAAGAAAGCGGTATAACCTCTCGGTCTAGACAACCGGAAGGGATGTTTCGCCTTAACAACCTGGGCGAGGGCTCCGCATAAAAAACCGGAGAGAGAGTGAGATATCGGAGATGGAGGGGTGGTGGTAGTAAGAAAAAAAGAACTAAGAAGCGGATGACTCCTCCGTTCAACACAAGCAATCAAGCCCCCGGTCCTGGTTCTCCAAACTGTAACAAGGAAGAGAGAGAGAGAGAGAAGAAAAATGTGTGTGTGTGTGTGTGAGAGAGAGAGGAGACACAAAGGCCGATCCGGTAAAAAATCCCCCAAGGTAATCGAGCAACAACCCACACACCCCCAATCCGACCGAGTCACAACTGACAACAACCCGGGAAGGGGAAGGGAAGGGATATCGGATGCTCGTTACCGCGCCGGTACAGGCGTCCGGGGACCGCTGCGCTTGTTAGAGACCGCCTACTTCGGAGGCAGGGTTTTCGCGACTTTGCTGTCATTCATCAGAAACTCGCTGCTGGAGTACCTAGGAGTGTGGGGCCCGCCCGCCCGCCTGTGGTGGGGTCCTGTCTGAAGTTTCGCGAACCGCCACGCTGGAGTGCATGTGAGATTTCGACAAGGAGAAATCGAGTTCCTGGCCACTTGCAGGCCACTTGTTCGTGGGTCTCGGTGGATATGAATCGGGGTTGTTGCTGTTCAAGTCTGCATCTGACGTAGTAATGGCCCTTGAACGTGAACATCACGGTCATATTTGGAAGGATACACACACGGACGGGAACATATTCAGAGAGTAGAACAATTTCAAAAAGCTCTTTCAAAATCGCCACAAAATCACGCCTTCGGGAGGCAACAATGCCTTCCACCCAGGCAATCAACACCACCTAATATACAATTGTTCTCTCCTCTTCCTCTCAAGCAAAAAAAAAATGATCTTTTGGTCTAAAAGAGCTAGGTATATCCGTATATGCCCCCTTTTCGCCAAATTTTTGAACACCTTTTCCCTTTTTCTGTCTCTGTTTCCCATGTATCGAGTGGAGATTTCCGCTCACCCTGAATCCCGAATGATGTATACACATTAATCCATAAATGCAACCACATCTTTCCTGTATATAGACAGACGCCTCTACCCATATATGAATATGCAAATTCCGCGGTGGTTAGGTCCCGTCTTTCATATGCGACGGGCACACGCGAACAATCGGCTTCTCCGTTCTCTCAAGGAGCTCAGATATCTGGGTCCATTTAGGTGATCGCACACCAGTCACCGATCGAGCAACCCGTTAACCTTGAGCATATCGTAAAGAGGATGTCTCCTCCCAGATATCCCTGGTTCATTTACCGCTTCTTCTCCTCAACCTCCTTAACCTCCTCAGAATGCTCATCATACTCTTCTTCCTCCAAGTCCTCCTCAATCTCCTCAGCCTCGGTAATACGAGGACTGGCCGACGTGGGGACATCAGCACCAGACATTTGCCACTCCATAAGCTTGCTGAAAGCGCTGTTGGGGTTGTTGCTCAGCTCAGTGTAGCTGCCAATTTCGGCCACGGTGCCTTCGCTGGACAGAACAATGATCTTGTCCGACCGTTTGATGGTGGAGAGTCTGTGGGCAATCGAGATGGTGGTGCTGCGTCCCTTGAGCAATTCAGCAAGGGCAGAGTTGACGAGAGTCTCGGATTCGGCGTCAAGTGCCGAGGTCGCCTCATCCAGGAGCAAAATATCGGGATCCTTGAGGAGAGCGCGAGCAATGGCGATGCGTTGCTTCTGCCCACCCGAGAGCTGGGCTCCACGGGCACCAACCTGCGTTTCCAAGCCATCAGGGAAGTCGCTGATGAAACCGCAGTTGGCCTTTTGAGCAGCCGCAATGATCTCCCATCTCTTAGCTTCGGGCCGTCCATACGAGATATTCTCGGCAATGGTACCCGAAAAGAGCACGGGCTCCTGTGCGACCATGCCGATGCGTCGCCTAAGCGATTTGACGTTCATTGTCGAAATATCGACGCCATTGATAGTGATAGTGCCTGACGTTGGGTTGTAGAAGCGAAGCAACATGGAGGCTACAGTCGACTTGCCACCGCCGGAAGGACCAACAATACAGATATTGCTGCCAGAAGGAATCTCGAAATCAAGGCCGTTGAAGATAGCCACCGCCGGTCTCGTGGGGTAAGCGAAGTGGACGTTGGAGAACTTGATAGGGCCCTGCGCCGACTTGACTTTCGTACCCACAGTTTGGTGAATGCTGGGCTTTCGGTCCTGGAGCTCAAAAAGACGACTAGCAGCACCAACACCTTTCATCAGTTCCGAGTAGAAGCCGCTGACACCGAACAAACTGGACCCTGCAAAGACGGTGTACATCATAAAAGACGTCAAGTCGCCCAATGTCATGGCCCCAGTCCGAACAAGGTTGCCTCCCACAATGAGCATGGCCAGGATAGTCATGTTGCCCGCCCAACTGGTAGAAGCGAAGAATGTGCCAGAAATGATAGCATCCCGTCTGCCGAGCGCAAAGATCTTCTTGACCTGCTTGCTGTACCGTCCAATCTCTTGAACCTCGCCGGCAAAAGCCTGGCTCGTCTTGATGTTGCCCAACCTTTCCTCTGCAATCTTCATAAGCGTGCCGACATTCTTTTGAATCTGTCGACTGAGGTTGCGAATCGAACGGCCGTACAAGACAGCGCCGATACCGATAGGAGGGACCATAACAAGGATAATAGACGTCAGCTTCGGGCTTAGCCAAGCCATGGCGACAAACCCAGCAGCACCGCTAACCAAAGATCGAAGACCATCCGAGACGTTCTGCGTGATACTCTTGCCGACAATGACCGTATCCGAGTTGAGCCTCGAGATCAAGTCACCGACCCGGTTGGCATCAAAGAACTCGGCATCCTGAACATACGTCCTCCGGTAAAGCTGCGTCCTCAACCTAGCCACAACGCGCTCGCCAACAATTCTGAGCAGAATAATCCGCCCAAAGTTGGCAGTCGCACCAATGGTAAGCACAGCAGCAAGTCCGCAAAAGAACTGTGTCAGAGTAAGCCCAAATAGCCTAACCTCGTCGACATCTTCCTTGGTGGAGAGATCCAGAATACGGCCCACGGAGAAGGGAATCGACATGGTGACACTGGAAGAAATGAGCAGCAGGACAAAGGCCACGCCCAGCCATCTGAGCTCAGGCCGGGCGATCTTGATCAGACGCCAGACCTCAGCCCAGCCAGGCTTGCCTTCCTGACCTTTCCCTTCCTTGGACAAGCGCGCCGCCATGTTGATGTGCGCAGCCTTGGCCGCCTTTGCGCTCTTTTGGAATCCATGCGCCTTGAGGTGCTGGTCCACCTCTTCCTCCTTTTCCTCTTGTTCCTCTTGTGTTGAAGACTGCTGGTCCTTTTTGGCAACAGCCTGCTCTGGGTTTGGTGGTGACGTAGATAACCGGCGAAGAATGTTGATCGGCGACGTCCATGTTGGCTGGGCAAGCCTAGGTCGTAGTCCGAGTGATGATTGTGGTGAACATGTTGGTGTTGCTGCCGCGGGGGTCCTCCCCGCTCCCACGCGGGAGGAGAAGTGGCGGCAGGGTTGGAGCTTTGCGGGAGCTGCGGCCGAGGATGGCCTCAGCGTCTGGAACGCATCCCGGGATAATATAAGCGACGCTGGTGATGGTGAAGGTGCGAGTAAGGGCGCATTTGCATAGCATATCCCGCCTGCACATAATGTGCGTTGCGGGAGCAGAGCCGCGCGGCGAAAAGCAGCCGCTGCGACCGCCCCCGAAACCATGACGAGTGCTTTCTAAGCTCGAGCTGGCTGTATGAGAGAATTCCAAGTCGTCGTTGGGGTGGAAGTGGGCCTCGCTATCTCGAGAAGATCCAATATTCGGGGGTTGTCATGTCGACCAGGCGCAGGCCGTAGTGTGCGCAGTTGTCGGCCTCAGGGCGCGTCGACTTCCATGTGAATCACGGAGCAATGGGGGAGCGGAAGTGAATGGAAGAAAAATCGCGGCTCGGATGGATGAGGTTCGGTCGCAGTACCGGCTGCCAAATGGGATCCCTGTCGATAAATTGCTGGGCATCGGGATTCCGTCATCCTAATCGCCGAGGCGGCAAGCGTGGGGTCCACTGTGCGGTTTGAGCCTGAACGGGCCGGATGCGGTTTTTCTTCGTGGCTTCCCGGTGCCTGCCAGGTGGCAGGTGCAATTGCTCTTGGCATCATTTAGTGTAGACATATGACCAAACTTAATCCCAAGCACTACCTACATAAGAGCCTACGAGCCTAGTCGATGCCAGTGAAGCGTAATGCCTCCGCTTGATCGCTATATAATACAGCAACAAAACTATACACCTTGAAAAGTCCTGATTCGGAGAAAAGAGGAACCTCGGAGGAAAGCCTCAACTCCAGTTCAAATTCCAAAAACATTTGAACATAAATTGCCGTCATCTCTCAAAGTGATTTTGGGAGAGAATCAAGGTCAAGGTAGAGTGGTTTTGGTTTTGGTTGTGCTTGCGGGCGGTTTTTCCCGTCTTGCCATGCGCAGTCGCTTAAAAGAGAGAATATTTGCCCCTGAATAAGAGCAAGTTGCGCATCAAATCTACACCTTTATATGCCACCACATGTTGTACATGCGCAGAAACGGCAAATTTATATTTCACAAGATAACAGATACGCAACTCACGTAACAGGAAGTAAACCTTCAAGATACCGTTCAACCGGGTATCATTTTTATGCTTTTTCTATATCCCACCTATCTATCATTATTTATATCTTAAAAACCCTTTTCGCCACCCTCTCTTCCATCCCTCCCTTGTCTCCGTTTACTTCGTCCTCACCACCGTCGTCCCCTCCGCCGGCTCCAGCACCTTCCAGCTGCACGTAATCTTGTTCTCCTCAAACTTCTTGATGATCCTGCTGGCAATCTCCTCAAAGTTGCTCGTCGCCAACGCCAGAATCGTCGGCCCGGCACCAGACAAGCAAACGCCCAACAGCCCCGGCTGCGTAGCAGGCGTCATGCTCTCCACAATCTCCGTCAGCCCCGGAATGAGCGTCTGCCTGTACGGCTGGTGCAACTTATCCTGCATAGCAAGATAGATCAGCTCCGGATCAGGCGGGCTCTGGCCCAGCGCAACCGGCAAAAGCGCTATCCTCTGGAGGTTGAATGTCTGTTTCCCATAAAAATCAGCATCACTTGACCCCCCACTGTCCCTTCCTCACCCATCCAGAAAACGGAAAAAAAAAAAAAAAAAAAAAAAAAAAAAACTTACCACATCGTTCCTAGGATACTCCGCCGGCAAAACCTGCCTCGCCTTCGCCGTAGGCACCTCAAACTCGGGAATGATGGCCACAGCCTTGATCTCCCCCGCCCAAGGGAACTTGATATGGTGCCCAATCCCCACCGGCGGCTCAGGAGGTCTATCCCCCGTGTCAACTCCCCCCTGCGGCGCAGGCAACACCTCACTGAGCGGGATCTCCACCCTCGCCGTGTCCTCGGGCGTCAACGGCTTCAGGTAAGTCCCCACAAACCCGCCAAACAACGAAGCCCCAACATTGTCAGGATGTCTCTCTGACCCGTATATCAGCAACCGTTTCCCCAAATCATCCCAAAAAGACTCACCAATCATCAAAATAAAATCAAACAACCTCTCCATGGTCAAATGGTGCAACCCGCCCACCTCCTTCCCCAACATCACCCCCGCCACAACCGCCGTCCCGCTCGACCCAAGCCCCCTCCCCAACGGAATAGGGTTCTTGACATGGACGTGCGTGTTCTTGGGAAAGGCCCTCTGGTCGTGACACCGGAGCACGTACAGCGCCACCCTCGTGATGAGATTCACCTCCGGGTCGAGGGAAATCTCATCCTCCCCTTCCCCTTCGTATGTGATCTTGCAGTTGAGGGGGTAATTCTCTGTTGAAGATGCAGGTGGGTCGACAGTGACGTGCAGCTCCAGGAACATTGACAGGGCGAGGCCGATGACGTCGAAGCCCGGGCCGATATTGGCGGAGGAGCAAGGGGATCTGATGACAAAAGATTGGGAGGCCATGCTTGCTGGTTGAGGAGAGAAGAAGGGGTGTTACAAAGGGGTCGTGATGTCGGGAAGAGCCGCTCCCGTCGTGTGTGTGTCACTCTCTCACAGCCAAAACGTGTGAGTGATCTGTGTAACACCTGGTGAATGAGTCGAAATATTTTTGTTGGAGAACCATCTGCCCGCGCATCCACATCCACCCACCGGGTCAACCCCCGATCACGGAGTGTGGGGTCGCAGCCCACCCCTCCAGGGCCTGAGCGCCGCCAGCTTGGCTGAAGATGCCCCGGGCCGCTTGTAACCGCTGCAACCTACGCAGTACATTCACCTGATACTAAATTAAATTCACAATGATCAACAGTATCATGCCAAAAACACTGCTTGTATTGCATAATAAACTAATCCTACCAAAACGTTGCAGCAAACAAGGGGCCCGAATGTGTTCCTTCATCCATCACCCACAGAAGACGATTCAGCCATCCTATCATCTCACCTCTTACGATAAATCTGTCCAGCAGCCAGAATAATAACAACTCAACTAGCAATCAGAAGGGCAGACGAAGGCAGAATTGGCGATGCAGACCGACTTCTTGGCAGGGCTCTTGTCGAGCGTGCAAATCACCTTCTGCGCACCATCACCGTCCTTGGATGGCTCGGGAGCCTTCTGCTCCTTCTCGATCTTGGGAACGGCACCAAAGCGCGAGTTGCCCTGGTCCCAAATAGCGTAGATGGACTTCAAGAACGTGTCTCCAAGAATATCAAACGGCATGGAACCGCGCGACTGGACACCGCCGTAATAATTGCTCTCATCGGCTTCCGCAAAAATGAGATCCTCTTTCTGGATGACAAACTCTCTCCCACCGACAGCCACGCTAAACTCTGGAAGACTGTCAACCTTGATAGACTTGGGGATGAGATAGCCCTGGTACTTCTCGCTGTAGGCAGCTCCGTCGATCTTCTTGTACAGAGCGTCACAAGCCTCGTCTGAGATGAGCGCGAGGGTAGTGCCAGTGTCAGCAATGGCCTTGTTGTCAGACAGTTCGATCTTGTCACCATCAACGCTGGCACTCGTGCTGTCGAACATCCAGAAACCCTGAGAGTTGTCCACCTTGGCCCAGGTGATCTCCTCTCCGCATTTCTTGACCAGATCTTGATCGATCCAGCCAAAGGTATAGAAAGACTCGGGCTTGAGATCACGAGAGCTATAAAAGGCCGATGTGAATAGCTCGGCTTCCTTGGGGATATCCTCCTGCTCAATCATGTTGTCGACTGGGGTTGGCTGAGGATCGCGGATGCCCATGGTCGAGTGTACAGTGTTGATCTGCTTGAAAGCCAGTCCAAGGAGACCGCCCATGACGCCCTGGCTGAATTGAGAGGACACATGCTTGGCCACCTCAACCGCTTGTTTCTTGATGACGAGGCCACCAATGGAGATGGTATCCTGGCCAACAAAGCCGGACGCAGAGCTGCCATCACCGTACTCAATCTTCCAGCTTTTGTTGTGCATAGGTGCGAAGGTGCTGGACTGATCGTTCTTGAAAGCATCCGGACGAACCTGTGTTGGTAACTGTCAGCAGGCCATAGCAATCTGAAGGGGAGACGTTGTAGCAACATACCCAGAGGTCGGCAGAGCCAGTGTCAAAGTCCAACAGGACTTTCTGAGGAGGGGTACCGATCAACACCTCGCAAAGGTACTCCATGTCACCTTGTTGGTCTTGGGCCCCAACCTCTCCCGGCTTGTTGTCTCCCGTCTTCTCAACGAGAGAGGTCCACATGTCGCGTATGGCCCCCACGGCAAACTTGCCAGAGGTCCAGTTGGTGCTCGGGTCGCGGATCTTGCCGGAAGTAAGAGGGCCTGGCTTGGTGGGCTGGAGGCCATAGCGGTTGATGGCAGAAGCGTAGGCCTTGGTGCCATGGCGCTGGAACTTGCTGTTGGGGATGGCCTTGACTTTGTGCAGGCCGAGCTCGGCGCGGAGCTTGGACTGGGCAATGAAGATGGACTCCATGATGTTGTGTTGGTGGTGTGGGTTTTGGTAGTTGGGAGAGTCTTGGGTGTAGTTGGTGGTGAGTAGAGAAAGGAGAAGCAGTTGTTGAAGGCTGAGGGTAGTGGTGTTGCTAAAGTAGGATGGTATTGTCATAGGAAATCAAGTAGGAAATGAATGGGAAAACCGAAGAGGGAGTTCGTTTGCTTAAATAAGACTCATGCTGTCATGTGTGACTGGGTTGATGTCTGGATGGAAAGAGCGAGGTGACCTTCCCCGCGCGGAGGAGCTCACACATGATGGCTGCCTTGGTACCAGCCGTCAATTTCCGTTGTCGCTCTTTCCTCTCCATAATGGCTATGTTGATAACGCGCGCAAACCGCAGTCGTGTGTGACTCAAATCGCAGAAGCATTACGTCGACAGCAGGAAGGGCGCAATGACAGAGCATTGTCATCGGTCGGCTGGTTTTAACGGCCGAGACTGGTGTTGACAAGTGTTATCTGAAGCAGAGCCGCGGTGAGCCGTGGTGTTACCAGTTCCATGGTGTTTACCATGTGACAAAAGGTGCGACTGCTTGTTTTGACCGGTTGATACCAAGATTGTTTGCCTTGTCGCAGAGCCTGTTCATGAGCCATCCCGATAAGCCAGTCAACTATATTTCTCCAGCAAAACCCGCCCAGCCTCCCATAAGCCTTACACGAACCTCTGTCGCGGATTTCCTATCACGGTAGACTCAACATACTGCTATGGTCGACGTAGGCCGCCTCATGATGCCACAGGTGACAGAATTGGCTTGCCACGCGTTTGACGTGGCTAGAGAATCATCTCATGGGTTCAGTTTTACCCGCCCAAGTATGAACCCTCTAACTCCGGTGCTCAGCCAGCATTTTTCTCCATCAACCAGAGACTGAGCTAAAACAACCTCCTCAACAACAAGTCCCCTACCCAAACCCGTTAGTACATCGCCCCATATCAATCATCCCCTTCTTAGAAACATACCTCTCCAGAGCCCACCTCCTGGTGGTACCATCCTGCCCACCATGCCATTCTTTATCAGTCTCCTTATTCACGAACGGTGTGACCCATTTCCCATCCCGAAAGAAATAAGGCGTGCTAATCGACCCCTCCATTACCGACCCATCCTTGCTATCCATAATCAAGACTTCCCTGGAAATCGTGGGTGACGTGATACCGGCCCGTTGCCTCGCCTCCTCGTATACTTGTCTCTGGCTGGTCTTGTAATGTGTGAACTCTGATGGATTGACGTTGTCTGTTGTGTCGACTACCACTTCGAACACACTGCCCGAGTACAAGTCCAGTGTAGGGGGGTCTAGTGTTGTTGGAAAGAGTCTTGAGAGGGGGACTGATGGGACGGGAGCGGACGTCACTGTTAGTTTCCCGTTCTGGAAAATGTCCACCCTTACTCGGGCTGGCTGGTCTTTTTGAGCGAGATGAGCTGTGATATTATCCGCCAAAAGTTGAAGTCCAGCGTCACCAGTGAGAGAAGAGATGACAGAGTCCCATTTCCAATGATGAGCTGCGCGAAGCATGCGGTCGCGGTGGTAGTCTAGCATGTAAAAGGGAGAGGAGTGGCCATGGTTCCAGCTTGCGTGGGTGAAGTCTGGGTGGGAGTGAACTTGGAGGAGGGCAGGGTCGTAACGAAGAGAAGTAAAGATCTGAAAATCGGACGATGCCATTTTGAATCAAGAATTGAACAAAGTGTTGAGCTATCTCCCAAAATCAAGCGGTAATTTGATTACTTCCTGATACTGCCAAAAAGCGTCCCCTCCTAAATTGCCCCTGAGGGTTACTGTGGGGACCCGCAGAAGCTGGGCGTTCTGTGTTGACACAAGACAAAGTATTGGTGCCTCAGGTTGCAATGCTGCTTCTGCTTGGTGTTGGTGGGGGTGGAGCTTGGACCTTGATTAGCAAAGAGTGAAGTCACCGTTTTCTTATCGGTGGCAGGAGGCAAGTCCAAAAGGTGTGCCAGGTCAGGTTCCGGAAAAACCGCGTGGTGGAGCAGGTTGCAGCAGTTGCAATTGGCGGGCCGCGCTGGACCGATTTTTTTTGATCAAGCTTCCATGGCTTGCTGTCGGCTGCTCAGTTGCTGGGAGAGACGTCAAGGCTTTGCTTCGCAGGATATTCACAAATAATCTGCATCACCAACCCGGCCGTCCACCCACACCCAGTCCAGTGTTGAGTGGCTTGTTATCTCACTTTTTTTATCGTCCCTTCCCAGTCTTGACCACCCGTATCATCTTTCTCCGGCTGAGCCCTTCACTAAGCGCTCCCTGCACCCAAAAGAGCCATGGCTCCCACGATTGCTTCAGGCCCCGCGGGGACCACTGTAACAGTGCCGGGCAATTCATCGCTGTGGGACCGCATCTCCAACTGGGCCTCTGAGAACAAAGGCCTCGTCTATACCATTGCTGGTGTCGCCGTAGTGGTCACCGGTGCCGGTGTTGTTTACTATATCCGCAAGGGTCCTGATGAAGTGAGCAGAAGCACCCACCCTGTCGTCAACCCCATCATACCCCTCGTCGCCGCCGTTATCGTCGTCGTCATCGTCGCCTACCGGGATACTGACCCTTTGTTCTCTTTTCTAGGAGTCTGTCCCAAAGCCCAGCAAGAAGGAGAGGCGGAAACGGAAACAGGCCGAGAAGGAAGCCGAGAAGGGCGCTGCCGCCGAGAAGCAAGCAGAAACCTCCAAGACCGCCACAGTAGAGACCGCCGATGAGCTGCCAGAAATTGACGAGGCCAGTGTCATCGGCCTATCCGAATCCCAACGCAAGGAGTATGCCGCTAAGCTTAAGGAGGCTGGTAACAAGGCCTACAACCAGAAGGATTTCAACAAGGCCATTGAGCTTTACTCGAAAGCCATCCTTTGCAAGCCAGACCCAGTTTACTACTGCAACCGCGCTGCCTGCCACAACGCCCTGAGCGAATGGGAAAAGGTTGTTGAGGACACCACCGCCGCTCTTGCCTTCGACAATGAGTACATCAAGGCCCTCAACCGCCGCTCGAATGCTTACGACCACCTCGGCAAGTACAGCGAAGCTCTCCTCGACATCACCGCCAGCTGTATCATCGATGGTTTCAGGAACGAGCAGAGTGCGCAGGCCGTCGAGCGTCTTCTGAAGAAGTTTGCCGAGACCAAGGCGAAGGAAATCCTCGAAACCAAGCCCGCCAGACTGCCCAGCGCGACCTTTGTGGGCAACTATCTTCAAAGCTTCAGGGCCAAGCCAAGGCCAGCGGGGTTGGAGGATGACGCCGAATTGGACGAGGAGACTGGAAAGGGCCAGCTGCAAAAGGGTCTGAAGGCGATGGAAAGCAAGATTGCGCCATCGTACGAGGAGGCTGCCGAGGCTTTCGAGAAGGCTCTGACTCTGGGAGACCTCGGTGAATACGAGGCTTACGCTCACAACCTTCGCGGTACATTCCAATGCCTCAAAGGCAAGCATCAGGAGGCTTTGGCCGATCTGTCCAAGAGTATCGAGCTTGATCCCGGGCTCACCCAGAGTTATATCAAGCGGGCCAGCATGAATCTGGAGCTCGGTGCCCCAGACAAGGCTGAGGAGGATTTCGAAGCCGCCCTCGCCAAGAACCCAGAAGACCCGGATATTTACTACCACCGCGCCCAGCTTCATTTCATCAAGGGCGAGTTCGCCGATGCGCAGAAGGATTACCAAAAGTCGATCGATTTGGACCCCGATTTCATCTTCTCTCACATCCAACTCGGTGTGACCCAGTACAAGCTCGGTTCCATCGCTTCATCCATGGCGACCTTCAGGCGGTGCATCAAGAACTTCCCCAAGATCCCAGACGTCTACAACTACTATGGTGAACTTCTTCTGGACCAGACCAAGTTCAGCGAAGCTATCGAGAAATTCGACACTGCCATTGAGCTGGAAAAGGAGACCAAGCCCATGTCGATGAATGTGCTGCCTTTGATCAACAAGTCTCTTGCCCTCTTCCAATGGAAGCAGGACTTCAGCGAGGCTGAGAAGCTCTGCGAGAAGGCCCTCATCAGTAAGTGGTTGCACATTTTCACATATCTTCTTTGTTGTTTGCTAACATGGAATTTCGTAGTTGACCCCGAGTGCGATATCGCCGTTGCCACCATGGCACAATTGCTTCTCCAACAGGGCCGCGTGACCGAGGCCCTCAAGTACTTTGAGCGTGCTGCTGAACTTGCCAGAACAGAGGGAGAGCTTGTCAGCGCCATCTCATATGCCGAGGCCACGAGAACCCAGATCCAAGTGCAGGAGAAGTATCCCGACTTGGCTAGCAAGCTGTCGGGCATGGGCGGCGGTGTGGTCCGATAGAAGGCTGTGTGGGTGTGGGGAAGCCGGACAGGAGCACAGATGCGAAGAATGCTATTTCGTTGGGTGGTGATATGACCGTCCTGCGATCTCAAAATTGAACCGTGATGAATGGTATACCCCGTCAAAACGCGCGCCGCAACTGGAGTCTGAACCGTTTTTCCAAACATGTATCATGAGCAGTCCATGGTGTTTTTTGTATTTTTCTTGTTCATCTCATACATCTGTATGACTGCATGCTTGGGGAGAGGGTGGGTAATATCTGTGTACGATGACGGGAGAGAAAGACTGGGGAAAGAAACAAACCAGCGGGTCGTCCCGCAACGAAAACCACGCCACTCTATTACGCAACCCATGGAGGAATGAACATCTCCTTTTTTCATGGTCATGATTCTTGTTTTTATTCTTGTTTGTCATTATAGGTGTGGGAGTGTTTTGTTTTTGGCTGGGTGGGAAAGGGGGTGAGGGTGAGGGTGAGGTTGGTGGGAAGTATACAAGTACATTACTCTTGTTTGTTTACATATGTAGCTTTGGGAGAAGCGCTCAATGAGAATCGATCAAAAAGCGGTATAAGAAAAAGGTTGAACTCTTTGCTTTTTGTGTTGTGTCAAGGGATCCCAAATAACCCAGGCACCCTGCCCACAACAAATTAATACACACAAATAGGATAGCCCCCATATTATGTTGCAAACTACACCTTGCGGGATAACCAATAGTCTTTGAATTATAGTTAATAGCCCTTCAAAAGTGTTCAGAAGGCCCATTAATTTACCTTCGATGCATGGTTTACAACATCATATGGGCCAACCAACCTACTTGTGTCTATCAGCTATTTTGTGGTGAGGGAGCCAGGGATGAAAGGATTGCGCAACGTCCAAAGGGGTGAGCGAAGGGAACAAAAAAAAAGACATGAATTAATCCGTATGTACTCTGTACTTTTGTACATGCTACATAGTGGTTTACTCAAAAAGAATTAACAACGCGCGTGAGCCTCCTCCCCAATAAAAAAAAACCAAAAAAGAACAAGAAAAACTACCATCTTCTCTTATACCTAGACTGAGAAGAAGAAGGAAAGAAACCCCTGATTTCCCGCTCCCGGCCAATGACGGACCCATCATCATTAGCAGCATGTTCCATCAAAAACCCGTCATTAAGTCCCGCCTAACATCAATCACCAGCTACCACCACCAAACCAGGGTCCTGTTTTTGCGTTGCTACACGTCCCCCCCCCAACCCTATTGGGAGTCTATTATAATGATCTTGTAAATCAACATTTCCACCGCCCACGCCCTTCGCTCATACAACATCAACAGATTGCATGTTGAAAACGCTCTGCTCCACTCTTTCGCATTACGCCTTTTCTCCTCGACAAAACAGGCGCCAAAAAGTGCCAAACACAACCCAGTCAATCAGCGCTTCCGCAAACGCGGATTCTAACATTGGCATGCTTATTGAGCGGGAGGGTTGTTCTTTTGGACAACAGAAACACCGACACCAACACCCACAGCGATGATGATCAGGATCAAGATGGTAATACCCAAGCACCACCACTTGAGCTTTCTCCGGTTGCGAGCGCTCTTGACAGCAGTCTGGATCTGGGTGTTGGCATTGCCGAGGTGGTCCGTCGTCTGCTCGGCCTTTTGAGCCACATCCTCGATGATGGCGCTCTGCTGGACGATCAGCTGGTTGAGGATGTCGAGAAGGTCGACAAGGTCGTTGATGGACTGTTCAATCTTCATCATGTCGTTGTGGCGAGCGCGGACATTGCCGAGAACTTCCGAGGCGCGGCCAGAGCGGTTGGAGCGGAGGGCAGTCTGGAAGATACCCTCGTCACCCCAGTTGGCATCAGCGGCTTGCTGCAGCTCGGCTTCGGTGGCGTTCTCGTTGACGATTCTGTACTGGCGCATGATCTGCTCGCGGCAGCGCTGTCTGTAGGCTTGCTCCTCCTGCAAGAACTTTTGGATGGTGTCCTTGAAATCATTGTTGAGACTGTCGAACTGGCGCTTCTTCAGGGAAAAGGTGCCGTGCTCGGCTGTCGTCCGCTCCGTATCCGTCTTCAAAGACTGGATCTGGTCCTTGATGGCCGTGTTCTTGAGTTGCGATTTGGCGACCTCGGCGTCGAGCTCGGCCTGAGCATGGCCGTCGGTGCTGGACAAGGCAGCATGGTGAAGAGATTCGACTCTGCGGATAATCTGGGTCAAGCCTTGAATTTCCTGGCGAATGGCCGACACGCGCTCGAGGAATTGGTTTTGGGTGAGGACGGTAGCTGATGAGCCGTACTGTTGCTGAGGAGGGTCATATGGTTGCTGTTGTGGCGCGCCGTAGGGTTGTTGTCCGTAAGATTGTCCACCGTAGGGTTGTCCATACTGCTGTCCATATGATTGCATCTCATGTTGTTCCTGTCGACGGAAAGCGACGAGTTAGCATGTCAAACCCATGAATAGTAGTGCGCGCGCTTGGCGGTGACCGCAAAAAGAGCATCCGTGCCTCTATGAAAACAAGGCATATGACTTTCGGCACTGTCCGGCCCATCCGCACCTGATACCGCGACGCGATTCAGAGAAATACTCACAGGTTGTCCATATCCACCGCCATATCCAGCTTCGGCCGAGGGGCCCTGGTTATAAGGATTGTACGACATTGTAGCTGACGCAATTGCACCGCTTTCTGTTCAATTGATGTGTTTTGTCCTGGTCTCGTCGAAGGTTGCTGTAATGATATCTGTCGGGATCAATGCGATGGCGCGCTCCGTCGTTGTTCAACTTGCTTCCTTGAAAATTGACTGGAAGGAAGAAGTGGTAACTGGTTGTTGGTGGTTTGTGAAGGCTCGGATTGATCCAATCTCCCCAGCTTGCGCTGCCTTGGCCCTCTCCCGTCCAGTGCCTGCACGTTGCTGGCCGGTTGACGAGCACCCGAGTGGTCCGTTCAGGTGTGGCTGATGGCTTTTTGTCGCTGCACCTGGTCTCCACTTTGACGGTTGATGGACCCGCAAATTTCCCTTTTCTCTCTCAGTTTTCAGGACGAGGTCCAAGCCGCCGCCCATACCAAACCCTTTTTGGTTAAGATGATGAACCCTGCGAGTCTTAGCCCCGTGCTTACGAGGCCTGCAGCGCGAGGCAGTGACTTTTTTTTTTGGTTCTTCTTGTTAGGGGTCTTTTCAGGGCACGAGACCTAGGATCGGTGAATATAAACGTACTGCATAGAAGACGATGTTGGAGAGCTTGGTTTGGAAAGGAGCTCATGTACGTAAGGCACGGAGTACTTGAGCCCCTTTTGTCACAAGACGAAGCTGCTTAGCTGAAGCTTCGTCGTGGAGATAGCGGAGTCGAGCTCTTCTGTGTGTTCTGGACCATCCCGATAAAGCGGTCAAAACAAGGAAGGTATACCAGCTCACTTCTGTTCTCGGCAACCGTTGGATATCGTTTGTGGAATGGCAAGGCAACCTCCGAGACGGGCAGCGTGAGAGCTTCGAGCTCCTTTAATGACAACTGGTAGAAAGTCCTGGGCCTGGAAATTGTTCCGGTCCATTTATCTGTTGATACTTGCTCATTGAACTCCCATAATCTGCAGCATTGTCTCATCGCCAGCCGTGTTAAGCAATTATACCCGGATACCTACTAGGCACTTGCCCTCAGAAATAACATGTCGCTGTCCAGCTCCTCGGAATCATATGCAACGGCGGCAAACTTGATGGCGTCACCTGCAGCGAGGCTGAGACTGATCTGCATGTCTCCCCACAATTGGTTGAAATGGTCCACTATCGCAGCTCTGGCTTTCCGTTTTTTAGATGGCAGTCACCGGGCACTGAAACAAAAGCGAGTGACCCAACGTCTTACTATGAAGCTTCACATTTAAAACCGAGCCTTGTATGTGCTGGATCGCCCCCAGCACACTGCCCTTGAACCCCTTGGTTATATAAGCAACCCGATTTTTCCCTTCCATTAAACGCCCTGTCGCCATTACTCCTGCATCCACCCACTTCTTTGCACCGATTCTGCGTCCACCAACATCTGGGGTTTCCGTATTGCGCTGAGCCCGTGTCTCGCCATAGAGGGATATCCCCCTCCCACCCAAGCGCCTACTTGTCGACGCAGCTCTTCGTGGTCTGCCAGATGTCCTCTAGCTGGCCTGACCGCGCTTCTTCATACGGGCGGTTGATCACCTTTCACCGTCCCTTCACTTAAAAACCAGGCCAAAAGTAACCCTATGCCGCTCAGAAGTAGTTCTTCTTTCTGCTGGTGCGAGTATACTGGCTTAGGTGCCATTCGCTATCGGCATCCTTGTTCTCGAGTGTTCCCATGGTGATGGAGAATGGTCGCATAGTGAACCGTGGGCCAACCTCGGAAAGTTCGACTGAGTCGTAACTTGTCCTCACATACACGTGATGACGGACCTCGATGCAGTCGTCTTGGTTCACGAAAGTAATAACTCTGTTGCCTGCGGCTTTGCTGGCAGTAACGTCTCGTGGCGGGAACAAATGCTTCAGGATCTTGACAATTCTCAGACCCAGTTTTGTTGTAAAGCCGTCGAAAATGAGGTGCGGGTAGGATTCTGATACCGTTCCCTTGATCGACCTTGGAATATCGGCTCTGAGTACAACATTGTGAAGGGAAGCCATCAATGTCGGGCCGTGGGGGAAATGGCTGATGGTCATGGCCGTGGGTGTACCACTATGTCGGGTTAGAAGACATTCAATTAAAGCCAGTATACATAACTCACCGATGTTCGTGCAGCAAAATCACATCACTGAGCTTCTCGGCTTGCGCTGAGCGGACCAGTTCTGGCAGCACCAAATTACCACGATTCAGTCTGATGCCCGTGGGAAATAGTAATCGGATTTCCTTGCTGAAGGACATGAGTCTCGAGCTCTATAGAGAAAAGGTTAGTCTCACAATGCAAAGATGACGGCAAATGACACTTACGGGGTCTCGAGAAGTAGTCACAAGAATGCGAGGGTCTAGAAGGAATATCAGCACCTGGCCATGTGCGCTTTCACCACCCACAGAAGAGAGCCATACCAACGACACCTGAAAGCTCGGAGTATTCATCATCGATATCGAGAGAATCATCCTCGGCGACGTCGCGCGACGCATCGTAGTCGTAGTCTTTGCGCAGTTGGGTATCTTTGGCGAGTTCTGGATCCAGCGGCTTGCCCGAAGCCAAGGCAGCTCTCAGCTTCGCCCTCTTCTCTGAAACTTCGGCATCGCGCAGAAGAACTGCTTTTCGGTAGAGATAGTCTCGCCTTTGCCTGGCTTGTTTGCGCTGAAGATACTTGTTAGATGGTGGATACGCGAGGTTCGGGGCAGCGACATCCAAGTACTGACAATCATTGTGAATGTTGTTGGTATGACGCTTAATCTGGAGGATGGCGAACGGTGCGCTGAGAGATATCGCTTTCGGAGTTTCGGGATCTGTAAATTTTGGCGTAGTTTCCTTGCTGAATGGCCAAAAGGGTTCTCGAAATGGCTTTTTGATGGAAGGTTACCACAGCGCTGGAGAAAATAATTCCCCTGCAAGGCTGAGAAGCCAACGCTATCAGCGCCTATCAATCGGCCATATCAGTGGAGGGGCACCAACAGAAACAGGAAGCACGGACCCCTGGCCAACTTTTTTCCCACCTGCCGTGCAGCTGTACCCGCAGCCTGATAGCCGCCACTTTCCACTTTGGGAGGCGTCTCTTTGCCTATGAGCGCTGACAAGGTGCAGGATTCCCACAGCCAAAAAATCGCAAACCGCCGGCAGCGAGCAACGAAACACACGAATTTCCAGAGCTTCCCTCACCACCCATTCATTCTGTGGACTTGCGAGCCCATCAGCTGCCTCGATTTCCTGTGTCAGCGATGATGTGACCGTCCCGTCGCTTGCAATTCCATCAGCTCTTTTTTTGTCTCTATCAACGTCCTGTCACTGCGACATCCCAACGATACCTAGACAGCTGCGCGCAGTGTGTGCCCTCCAACCTACCAAATAATAATTCTCGACCGGTGATTCAAGGTTAGCCTCGGCAGCACCCAACACGTTGTGCGCCATTCCCCTCCCTCACTTCGTCGCGTTCAAGCAACATTAGCATACTTTTGCCCCCCGTCCTCTTGTCACACATCTCTCTTGCCTGCAAGTCCCATGATTGCGTTCGCCTGCTTACCATCCTGCAGCCCAAGTGTCCCGGCACCCTTGCCGTCTGTTTGATAATGGAGGACGCCTTCAACCACCTCGGAAACCACCTTGTTTCCGACTCTGCCGCCACCATTAATGCCACCGCCGACGACTTCGACGATGAAACCGAGAGCTTCCTGGGCGATCTTAAGGAACACGGCTCCCCGACAAACGCCCTCCGTCGCCATGATGACAATGACAACCAGGGCCCCGAAGACTTCCGCGATGATGACAGCAACTTCAGTGGCCCAAGAAACGATGTAAACTCGAGAGGTCCAGAAGAGGAAAAGGAGCTGCCCGCTCACGCTTGCGCGTAAGTCATGGGTTTTGGGAGCATGGTGGGGGGTATCATAACTGACTGGTTTATGTAGGTATTGCGGCATTCACTCCCCGTCCTGTGTGGTCAAGTGCATTGCAAAGGAATGCAACAAGTGGTTCTGCAGTGCTCGTGGTAATTCGAGTTCCTCACATATTGTCAACCACCTTGTACGAGCCCGCCACAAGGAGGTTCAGCTTCATCCCGAGTCAGCCCTTGGCGATACCACCCTCGAATGCTACAACTGCGGCAACAAGAATGTCTTTATGCTGGGCTTCATCCCCGCCAAATCCGATACCGTTGTCGTTCTTTTGTGTCGCCAACCTTGCGCTGCTGGCAGTTCGGCCAAGGACATGAGCTGGGATGTTTCGCGATGGCAACCCCTCATCGAGGATCGGTCCTTTCTCAACTGGATTGTCTCCCCACCGACCGACGCCGAACAGCTTCGAGCTCGCCATTTGACCCCGCCCATGATTGCGAAACTTGAGGAGATGTGGAAAGAGGCTCCAAGTGCCACTGTCGCCGATCTGGAGAAAGGAACCGGCGTAGACGACGATCCACATCCCGTGCTCCTGAAGTACGATGATCCGTACCACTATCAGAATGTCTTTGGGCCCCTTGTGAAGATGGAGTCGGACTATGACAAGAAGCTCAAGGAAGCGCAGTCTGAGGACCACCTCGTGGTTCGCTGGGATATGGGTCTGAATAACAAGCACCTGGCCAGCTTTATCCTGCCCAAGATCGAATCCGGCGATGTCAAATTGGCCGTGGGCGATGAGATGCGCATCAAGTACAAGGGCGAACTTCGTGCCCCATGGGAGGGTGTTGGATATGTTATCAAGATCCCCAACAACCAGTCGGACGAAGTTACCCTTGAGTTAAGAAAGGCGGCGAACGACAAATCGGTCCCCACCGAATGCACGCACAACTTTTCGGCCGACTATGTCTGGAAGGCCACGTCCTACGACCGTATGCAATTCGCTATGAAGACCTTCGCTGTGGATGAGCTCAGTGTTTCTGGGTACATTTTCCATAAGTTGCTGGGCCACGAGGTAGCCGTTGCTCCCATGAAGACGCAGATGCCGAAGAGGTTCCACGTTCCAGGGTTGCCTGAGTTGAATCACAGTCAGATCACTGCCATCAAGACTGTTCTGTCCACCCCTCTCAGTTTGATCCAGGGGCCGCCAGGTACCGGAAAGACGGTCACCTCAGCCACCATCATCTACCATCTTGCCAGAATGAACAATAGTCAGGTTCTCGTCTGCGCCCCCTCCAACGTTGCTGTCGACCAGCTTTGCGAACGTATTCACCGCACGGGTCTCAAGGTCGTTCGCTTGACAGCCAAGTCTCGTGAGGATGTCGAATCGTCCGTCAGCTTCTTGGCCCTCCACGAGCAGGTCCGCCTTTACAAGCAGAGCAGTGAGCTCACAAATCTCAACAAGCTCAAGGCCGCCGCAGGTGAACTGTCTTCTCAGGACGAGAAGAGGTTCAAGCAACTGACTCGCCAGGCCGAGAGGGAGATTCTCAACAGCGCTGATGTCGTGTGCTGCACTTGCGTCGGTGCCGGCGACCCGAGACTGTCCAAAATGAAGTTCCGAAACGTGCTGATCGACGAGTCTACTCAGTCAGCTGAGCCCGAGTGCATGATTCCTCTTGTCCTCGGATGCAAGCAGGTTGTTCTTGTTGGTGATCACAAGCAGCTCGGCCCCGTCATCATGAACAAGAAGGCGGCCAAGGCTGGTCTTAACCAGTCTCTGTTCGAGAGGTTGGTCAAGCTCAACCTGGTTCCCATTCGGCTCAACGTTCAGTATCGTATGCACCCTTGCCTTTCAGAATTTCCTTCCAACATGTTTTACGAAGGATCGCTCCAGAACGGTGTCACCATAACTGAGCGGCTTCGCAAGGATGTCGATTTCCCCTGGCCTGTTGCTGAAACTCCGATGATGTTCTGGTCCAACTTGGGCAATGAAGAAATTTCGGCATCCGGAACATCTTACCTGAACCGCACCGAAGCTTCCAACGTGGAGAAGATTGTTACTCGCTTCTTCAAGGCTGGTGTGAAGCCGTCTGATATCGGTGTCATTACTCCGTACGAAGGCCAGCGCAGCTACATTGTCAGCACCATGCAGAATACGGGCACTTTCAAAAAAGAGAGCTACAAGGAGGTCGAGGTTGCTTCGGTCGACGCTTTCCAGGGCCGTGAGAAGGACTTTATCGTTCTTTCTTGCGTCCGTTCCAACGACAACCAGGGCATTGGTTTCTTGTCCGACCCTCGTCGTCTCAACGTCGCGCTCACTCGAGCCAAGTATGGTCTTGTCATCATCGGCAACCCCAAGGTTCTGTCCAAGCATGAGTTATGGCATCATCTTCTTGTTCACTTTAAGGATCGCAAGTGTTTGGTGGAAGGCCCTCTTACCAACCTTCAGACTTCCCTCATCCAGTTCAGCCGGCCCAAGATGAGCTTCCGTCCCCGCCACAACGCACAGGCCCAGCATGTGTCTGGTGGTTATACCAACGGCAGAGGTTATGGCGGCGGTGTCAACGGCTCCCACCGCGATTTCGACACTGGCTCGGTGCTTTCGTATGCTAACGGTATTCCGGATGATGTCTCGTCCATTCACAGCTCTGCCTTGGGGGGTGCGGGCCTTACATCGGCCTACCCTCAGATGTTCTCCAACTTCCATCCAGAGCAGTGGCCCGGCTTGCCCGGGGCCAACCCGGCTAGCCGTCCCGGGGCCAAGGGTCGTGCTCGCATTGCTGAGAGTGTTGCTGGCGAGAGCGTTGCCAACAGCGAGTTTACGGATGCGAGTGCGAGTGTTATTGGTGGCAAGGGCGTCGGTCAGGGTGGTGCGAGCCTGGGAGCTGGTCTTAGCGAGGCTATCAGCTCGGCTCGTCCTACCTCGTACAGCCGTAGCGACCGTCTCAAGCAGTACGTGGAGAGCGGCGGGCGCAGTCTTGGCTTGGGCAGCGGATATGGCCGTCGCTTCGATGATGACGAGAAGAGCGTCAGCACAGCGTTTGCTAGTCAAATTGGGACAGGGTTCGACTGAGTGTTTTGAGCAGCGTGGTTGTGCTGGTATTGTTTTTGAAGCAAAACCAAACAACTGAAGCAGTTATCGCACCAAGCAGCATATGGAGGACCATCTCGTCTGGCTCCGCCCAGCATACCTCGGTCGAGCACGCAACTTCGGATCCGCCCGGTCGTTCCTGATCAGTCATGAAAACGAGTCACAGTTTCCGGGAGCGCTGATCCTACCTACTTTGGTAGAGACTGGGTACATATATCCTTCTGCGCCTCGCAGCGACCCGCCGCTGCCAAAGCGTTGCTCTGACGACCTATGGTGCCTGTCGATTCTTGACAGGCAGATGTGGCTCGACCGGCCTCGGAGGCCTCGAGTTTTGAGATGCAGGAGGTAGTTGAGAATTGTTAGGGTCTTTTGTTCCAGCATTACGTCGCTCAGGGGAGGGAGCTAGTGTAGCGAGCCGAGGTGGTCACACATGTGGCATGGACAAGTCGGTCCAGCCTTCTGTACCACCCAGGGGCATCCTGTTTTGGAACTAGCTATGGACGAGAAGGACAGCGGTGGTAGTCTGATAAATTTTGGGGAGGAAGGCTGAAGGTTGCCGCTCATTTTCACGCCTGTTGGGCATTCACTTCGTACAGGCTGGATATCTGACTTGATCAGATTCTAGTGCTGAAACACTAACCACTAGTCACTCGTTCACTCCTATTTGAGATTGGTGATTTCTAAGCAAACGAGCGGATAGATCAATAGAGGATCAGAATAGCACTATCATTTATTCCGCTACCATATGTGCCCCTTATCATTGTGAAGTCTTTGAGCCGCCAGACGCGACACGCTTCTTTCTTTGTGAGCCTCGACGATCAAGTAACACGAACTCACGTGAAGATAGCCGATAAACGCCATGGGTTCTAAGGGAAAGTTCCACTGTGACCTCATCCCGCCCCACCCTTTGCCTGCCACGCACCACCACTGGGCAACCCCACCCCGCCTTTTGGAGTCGCAGACCCAACCAAAGCTGATGATCATGCTGGTTGGGGGTTCAGCGATGCACGTTCTAGATTACCTAGCACACACCTTAAACTTTTGGCGCCACGGTACCTGAATACTCGAGCCTTTCAAAAGCCCAACATATAACCATCATGGCGTCGCCCCCGAAAGATCTAGCGCCGGACGTGCCAACAACCACAGTCACCCCCGACACCACGGTTACAGAAAGCGGAGCGGGCGCCGCTGCCGCCAAGCCGGAGACTAATACGACGTTGGGCGGTGATGGTGCTGGGACGACGACGAGGAGGGCAGCTACCTTTAGTGTCTCACCATCACAGTCACAGCAGCAGTCTGGAACAAACGGTGGCAGTGGTAGTGGTGGTGGTTCTGTCAAGTCGGCGGCGGCCAACAGGAACTCAACAGCCGACATTGACACGACCAACCCCCTCGACTTTTCCGAAGACGTCTCGGCGGACAACTCCCTTCCTACGCTGGCGACGCTGAAGAAGATTGACAACTACATTGTGCTGGACCGCAATGGAAAGTCGCACACGTTTCGGTCGCTGTACACGGGGCGGCATGTGGCGAGGAGGGTGTTGCTTGTGTTTGTTAGGCATTTTTACTGTGGTGTATGTGTACTCTCCGATTACCCCTCCCGTGGTATGATTGATGACTGATTGTGATGGTGGGGATAGAACTGTCAAGATTACCTCCGGACCTTGTCGTCTGCGTTTTCGCCGTCGGATTTGCTGGGTTTGCCCATCCCGACGTTTATCGTTGTGATTGGGTGTGGCGATCCGGGCTTGATCGATATGTACACCTCTGAGACTGGGTGTCCTTTTCCTGTTTACACGGATCCCACGCGGAAATTGTATGCGGAGCTGGGCATGATTCGGACGTTGGCTTTGGGGGAGAGGCCAGCGTATACAAAGACTCATCTGGTCAGGTCGAGTTTGGCGAGTGTGGTTCAGGGTCTGAAGCAGATACCCAAGGGGCTGGCGCACAAGGGGGGCGATTCGAGGCAGATAGGAGGCGAGTTCTTGTTTGAGCCGGTTGGTGGGGAGGATGTGGCTAGTCCGATCAAGGAGTTGGGGGAGTGGGTGAGGGGAGAGAGGGCTGGGAATGGGGATGGGGAGAGTGTGAAGATGGGGGTTAGGCATAGGGCGAGTGAGACGCCGAGTATTGATGGGAAGAACATGGAGTTGGGAGGGGATGGGAGTGAGGGGGTGGATAAGATTGTTAGTTGGTGTCATAGGATGAGGAATACGAGGGATCATGCCGAGGTGCCGGAGTTGATGGAGGTGTTTGGGATGGCGGTGGGGGAGATGGAGAAGATACCCGGGGATGTGAAGGGGTTGGAGAGGGAGAGGTGGGAGAGGGCGATTAGGGAGAGGAAGGGAGTAGGTTTGGGGGGGAAGGGGAGGGGGAGTTTAGAGAGATGACTTGAGGGTGTGATGGAAAGCTGATTGGATTGGGTTTATTCAAAAGTGTCAAAGCATGCATTTTAGCAAGCAGGAGTTTTCATAAATGGGAATTAAAATGATATTATGCTCTAGGTCGTGGTCCGCACGGATAGATTTGTGAAGTCAGGTTGTGTACACGACATACGGGAGTTTCCGAGTGCATCGATGTTTCACGCCCTTCATATGTTTGTCTCTCCTGAGATAATAGAGCAAACAACAGTCAGGAAGGATAACCCCTGGAGGGACTGTGATACCATCGGATGTGAATAGTGCGCTTCATCAAATGATAGCCCCATATTATCCGATGTCGTCAAGCGCACTGCGTATTGGTAGTCTCTCGCCGAGTGGCTAGCATACGCTAGGTATGCTCTCATCGTGCCCTTTCCACCAAGTAATCCGGTGCAACATTTCTGGTGAGAGTCTGGGGAAGATATTCTGTGGTTTCTCTGGCGTGGTAGTTCAACCTCCAAGTAACGAAGCACAAGGCCATTTCCCATCTAACCCACCGTGTAATCTCTTGGTTGTCTTGTTTACAATAATTCCACATTGTGCCCCCCCTCCCCCCCCCTTACGTACCCTTTCCCCCGCCTACCTAATCATCATCTCTGTATTTTTTTTTTTTTGCCTTTTTCATCCTCACCGCCCATCTATCTCCTTTCGATGTCTCCTCGATCAGGATGGCTTCCCAGGTACCCTGCCCCATCCCAGGAAACCCGTCCATGTACGGCCTCGGCCTCCGCACGTCCTTTTACCTCCTCCACCTCTCGACCCTGTTCCTCGAGCTCCTGGAGCAGGAATATATTGTCCTTCTCCTATCCGCCGAGCTCGTCCTCAACTTTGCGCTTTTGCTTGCATTGATATTGCAGGTTGCTGCTGGGGGGTTGCATGTTGTTGAGGTGTATATTCTTCTTCTTCTCCTCTCTGTCACTGTCTACCTCTTCGTCCCGAGACATGCGGCGGATTTGGCAATGGTGTTTTGTCCTCATTTGGGGTTGCGGGTGAAAAGTAGGGGGTGGGGGGTAGATGTGCTGGGTTGTTTGAGGGGGGGTTATGGATTGGTTGTGGTTGGTGTGCAGGTTTGGTTTTGGGGTAGGGGGGTGGATTCGGTTAGGTATGATGACGGTGGTGGTGGTGGTGGTGGTGATGGGAAAGGGTGTTTGGAGTATGGGTTTTTGTTTGGGGCGATGGATCTTAAGAGCGGGAGTATGAAGGGGTTGAATATTTTGTTGGTGTTGGGGATGCTGGCTGGGGGGTTGGCGGTGGTGGGTTGTGTGAAGAGTGGGTGGTGGGGGGTTAGGAAGGGAGGGAGGAAGAAGAAAATGTGAGTCGCCCCTATTTTTCATCTCTGCCCCTAATCGTTGCCGGGTGGGTTTATTTTTTTTTTCTTTTTCGGTCGTGGTAGAAAGTGATCATTTTCCACTTTCCTTTTTCGGAGGTGGTGTGGTAGGCCGCAGCTTGATGATAGCTAACCGTCGGGGACAAACCTCACCGAGATTAGCCGCTCAAGGTGGGAAGCACAAAAGTGGTTGGAGGCCTTGGGGGGCCTTGCGGTCGCCGTAACCGTGATCGTTGCGATTGAGCTGACGATTCGATGGAACCGCATCGGGGCTGAGAACAGTGTAAATCAGGCAACCACCGCCGCCCAACTCATCCCGCTCTTGCTGGTTATCGCACTCATTTCGACATTTTTGTACGGGGTCTTCAGCAACGACAAGTCAGACGACGGTAGTCTGGTTGTTACGCTTGAAGCAGGGTCATCATCGTCGCCATCGGGCTCAGGTACTGGGTCAAGCCCATCCGGCTCTGGTGGTTCCGGTCCTACACCAGTTGTCGTTGCTGAAAGGTAAAACTCTATTGAGTCTTATCAACTTGAATCTTTTACTTACATGGATTCAGATCACGATCTCAAACACGCCGATCTAGATCTCGTCAAAGTTCCCGCAGACCACCAGCCCCATCGCCACCAATGCCACCATCAAGACACAGCCCGAGATTCCCTGGGCCACCACCCGGTCCACCTCCAGCTTCTCATCACAGCGGCTATAGTCACAGCGGCTCACCTACTCCTCCATCGCCTCTGAGCCCAAGGATAATCAACGTCTCCCCCTCCGGGCCAGTAGCCAGACCATCAGTCAACTATTATCGCCAAGTGGTTCCCCATCCCTACTTCCCGTATGAAGGACCCGAGTACTACGACCCGAACGGATCACCTCCCCGCATGTCAGGAGGTATCGGGGCAAGGTGGCCACGTTTCGCAAAACCAATGGGTCCCCGCCCGCCTCCCTCTCCTACCAAGTCAATAGACCCAGCCAACGACAAACTCTGGGACGAAGTTCTCAGCGGCGCACCAGGCACGCAAGGGGAACCACTGATAACTCAAAAAGACATCGACGACTTGTTCAACCCGCCACCGTCAGCAATGCTGATTACCGATGCGGATGTGGCGGCTGTGATGGAGCCTTTGGTGACAGACGCAGATGTGGAGGAAGTGATAAGGGAGATGCTGACGGAGCAGGACATAGCAGACGCTCTGAAAGATAAGGTTACTGACGCTGATGTCGACAGGGTTATGAAGTCTAGTTTTACTGATGCCGATGCAGAAGCCGTGATGGGGGATTTGATACCGGATGAGTTGGTTGAAGAGGTGATGATGAGTGGGGCGATACCGGATGAGATGGTGGAGGAGGTGATGAGATCTCCCAGACAGGCAAAGGTCGAGGATGAGAGTGATCACCTAAGTCAGCAGGCCCATGACTCCGAGGATTCAGATGAGGAGGAAGAGTCGAGTTCGGATAGCAATTCGGATTCAGGTTCAAGTTCAAGTTCGAGTGGAGAGAGGCATGATGAAGATGAGGATGAAGAAAAGGGTCCGGCCGAGTCGATTCCGGAGACGGAGACTGAACCCCGTACACCTAGGTCGGTACGTTGGGCGATGCCCCTGGACGAGGAAATTAATTCGAGGTATGCTTCTGATGGTGGGTTCTATCACTCACCTGAGCTTAGAAGCAGGGACGATGACGTGGAAGAAATTGTGAGAGATCGATACGGTGATGATGATGCTCGAATAGTTGCTGTAGTTCGCTATTTTCCTACTCCTGGGTATTCATCAGGCTATGGGTCGTCATGGGGTCAGAAATACTAAAACAAAACGCACCATTACGAAAGCAACTTTTTGCTGTGGCGGATGATGGTGTTCAGGAAGTTCATAAGACAAGTCATAAGAAAGGCCAAGCGAACTTGGTGGTTGGCATGCTGGGATGAAGAAGGATGGTCACGAAGTAATGACAAAAATAGCAAGCCATGGTACTCATTCCTCTGAAAAAACACACCAAGTGTCAGTTATTCCAGTGTGACTTTTCCCTTGACAACTGGTTGCACACTCTAGACTCTAGATTTCGTTGCTGTATTTCCCTTCTGTGCTCGTCGCATGAGGATCTTGCTTCCTGCCCCACTTGCTCTTAATTTCAGGCATTTTTTTTTTTTGAAAAAAAGGCTGGAAGTTTACGGATCTGCCCAAAATGCCTTCGTTTCTATGCAGGCCAACAATCCACTATTTTGCATCGGATCTCACCTGGTGTCCGTTCTTTCATTGCTTTGAAGAGGCAAGCTCACCAATTTTCACCTCTTTCTTCGCCTCTTCTTCCATGCTTGCTGATGATCATGAAGAGACTACAACCTCGGACACGGTACACAAGACAAAGTGCGACTATGTAGGTTAGAATATGCTTAGGGTTATGGGTCTAGGCATGTTTTTTAAAGTCAGGATGGCAGGGTTGTATATGTAGTGGAATGGTTAGTTGATCTGAGCTGCTTAACTGACCCTCGGGTTAAGATTCCACCGCAAAACGTGAATGAGAAATCTCAGCAGTATATATCAGTTTTCGCCCCATTATTTCGCCTGATATCATATCTTTGTTCCCGAAAACTCTGCCAACAACGTCAAATCTTGCCTACTTTGAGTGAACTTCTTCGAATGTCGAGTGAATCTTGCGGAATTGCCTTCTACAAGAGGACCCATAGCCCCACCTTCATCTCTGGGCCAAGCTGCTAGTGGCAGGCAGCATCTCTCTTCCCGGCGACAGCTAGAACATTTGAACTTTCTACACTTCCCTTCACCAACCATCCCACGCCCGGGTTCGTAAACACCGCGGCCACTGCAGACTACCGCGCCATCATCGAACCCCCACCTTTTCATCGCAGAGCTTCCGCTTCTCTTGCAACTCAAGGTCTCGTGATCAGCGCCTCGCATACAGCCAGCCCCAGCTACCCCCAACTTTTCTGATCGATCGCTCACCATATCCACCTAATATCGTCACCATGGGTTCGACACTCTGCCAGAACCGTCTGATTGAGGAGAGGTAAGTCGCCTCTTTCGTCGCTTGCAGATGCGCGCGCCGACCTTCGGACATTTTCCTCCTGTTCGCGACAGCCTCGCTGACCGGCGCCATGCCCTCTACAGAAAGCAGTGGCGGAAAGACCACCCGTTCGGCTTCTGGGCCAAACCCCAGAAGAACCCCCAAGGTGTGCTGGACATGAAGGTCTGGGAGTGTGCTATTCCTGGCAAGAAAGACACAATCTGGGAGGGCGGCCAGTTCAAGCTGCACATCACTTTTCCAGATGGTATGTAGCTACCCTCGGTGTAACACATGATGTTGCAGATGGACTTTGATAGCTGACCTGTCTCTTTTTCCCTTCCTGCAGAATATCCCACGAAGCCCCCCAAGTGTAAGTTTTTTTCGCCGAATTACCCCAACATGGGCAGGTCACACGACTAATCAACGTCCTCTCCTTGTAGGCAAATTCGTCCCTCCTCTGTTCCACCCCAATGTCTACCCTTCGGGCACCGTCTGCCTTTCGATCCTCAACGAGGAAGAGGCTTGGAAACCGGCCATCACTCTCAAGCAGATTCTCCTTGGTGTCCAAGACCTCCTGAACGACCCAAACCCCGAGTCACCAGCTCAGGCCGAGGCTTACAACCTATTCAAGAAGGACAGAGCCGAGTACGAAAGACGTATCAAACGGATTGTTCGAGAGAATGCTGCTCCATAGACGAGCTCGCTTCTGGGGGCATACTGGAAAAGGACGACAGTAGAATAACGTATTAGTGGGATCTACGATTGTGGTCATTTATTTCTGGAGTTACTTGGGAACATCATGGACGGCTGGGAAGGCAGGCAGGGGCGTAGCATTGATTGGGAACGAGCTTGTAGACGGACGACTCTCGACAGGGAAGGGTTCTTCTTTTCACTCAACGAACTGGTATTTGACTTTCTGGAGTGGGGGTTAATGGAATTGGCTTTTTTTCCAACAATACGAACCACTGAATCAACCATCCCGTCTCTGGCACCCGTGACTTGCGCCTCCATGCAGTGTTTCCGATACAGAATTTGTGACGCTGGTGTCGTGTGTGGCCCCTGGCTCTGAGCTGTCATAGCTACGAGCAATACCCCCGCGTAACATTGGGGAAGCAACGCGGGCTCCCATCTACGATTGGCGATACCCCACACTCGGGATGAAGAAGAGTCTGGCATTCTGTCGCTCACAGCTGATGGATGATGTCCTCTCACATATGCAGAGTCTCACGTGGACAGTTTACCAGGCACTTTGCAGGCTCCCACACCTTTATATCGCGATTATCGCAAACTTCTTATCAGGGCGGTTTATCTAATTGTGGAGGGCCGGAACGGGTTCTGGCACACGGCTGGGACGGTCTCGCCTCCGAGTCCCCAGGTTCCGGACCGCGCTAACAAATTATACCAGGGGGTGGATTTGAGGAGTGGCGATATCGGCGTCCACTTGGCTCCTCACGATTAACAATGGAGGACTAGGAAGCCCCGGGTACCAAGAGGTCTGGGGTCTTAGAAGGTACTTAAAATTTTGCAGGGGCAATGTAGTCGACTCATACTCCAAAGCCAAATTTGGAATTCCCAGACAAATTTCTGTGACTCTTACCCATCTCTTCCTTTCCACACCTTTGTGCTGTGGCCTCCTTCCTTCAAAAACCATCCCACGCTCTTCTGCAGCTCTCACCTGTAGACCAACCATCAGCTGCTCACCTACGCCTTGCCGGATCGAACGCCCTCTCTCCCATCGCAACAGACACCAGCTTGCGCGCGCCGCGACGGCCAGAGTAAGTATAAAGACCGTTGTCACTGACTGGCTTGTAGTCCGCTCTCAACGTCCGCTCCAAAATCCCAAGAACTAGTTGCCTCCTAGCCTCCCGTCCAAAAACAAGAGAATAGACAGTCAACATGTGCGGCATCTTCGCCTGCCATAGGTCAGTCTCGAACACCTGGTCTTTTCCCTGGCTATCATGAACAATTGCTCGGCATTGGCTCCGTGGTGGTGACTTGTCAACGACTTTCTGTCCTTGGAGGGGTCAATGCCCCACCACACCACCAAGCCGTTGTCCTTATCGCCGTTATCGCTTCACAAATTCTCGAGATCAGCATCAACACCACAGCAAGCATAACGCAGAACGCTAATATGAAGAGCAACCCAGTCACCCAGACGTCGCCAAATTCAAGCCGACTGCTCTGAAGCTTTCCAAGCAGATCAGACACAGAGGCCCGGATTGGTGAGTCAATCCCTTGCGCAACCCCTCCTGGTAGCTCCAAGACATTTTGTGCTAACTGATTTGATAGGAGTAAGAATCTCACCCCTGAGTCGGACAAAGACGGATAAACAAGATAAGGAGAAACAATTGGTTTGGCTAACACATTGTCTTCCCACAGGCGGCAGCGTTATCTCTAACAACACGAGTACGATAAGGAACCCCAACCCCCCTGGACACATAGAAAACCTCCCACTTTTCTCGAATGTCTTTGAAAGAGCGATGCTAACGCGGCGCCACAGTTCTGTGCCATGAACGGCTCAGCATCGTCGGTGTTGGTGGGTCTAGATCTGTATATCTGGTTTCGAGGCCGTCGTCTAACCTCAAAGCAGAGAGCGGAGCTCAGCCACTTACCAATGCCGATGACAGCATTATCCTCGCCGTCAACGGCGAAATCTACAACCACCGTCTTGTTCGCAAGACCTTGAAGACCCCCTACCACTTCAAGACCACCTCGGATTGCGAGGTTGTGATTCCTCTGGTGAGTCACTGCGAGAGGAGAACTGCGGGGGAGAGCACATGAGATTAACCGGTGCAACAGTACCTCGAGTATGGCATTGATGCGCCCAAGCACCTCGATGGCATGTTCTCCTTCGTTCTTTACGACAAGAAGAAGGACCGCACAATCGCCGCCCGCGACCCCATCGGTATCACAACCCTTTACCAGGGCTGGTCCTCCAAGGAGCCCGGCACTGTCTACTTCGCTTCCGAGCTGAAGTCCCTCCACCCCGTCTGCGACAAGATCGAGGCTTTCCCCCCCGGACACATCTTCGACAGCTTGACTGGCGAGAGGACACGGTACTTTGAGCCCACATGGTGGGATGGCGAGAAGATCCCCCAGACCCCTGTCGACCTCAAGAAGCTCCGCGAGACTCTTGAGAGGTCTGTCAGGAAAAGGTTGATGGCTGAGGTTCCTTATGGTGTTCTCCTTTCCGGCGGTCTTGACTCTTCGCTTGTTGCTTCCATTGCCCAGAGGGAAACCCTGCGCCTGAAGAAGCTTGCAGAGGAGGCCAACGGCGCCGCTGAGGAGAAGCCTGAGGATTTGGACAAGGGCGAGGGTCTTGTTGGTCTCGATGACGAGGGCAAGCTCTCTACCATGACCTTCCTTCCCCAGCTCAACTCCTTCTCCATTGGCCTTCCCGGCTCTCCCGACAACGAGGCTGCCCTCAAGGTGGCCAAGTTCCTCGGCACCAAGCACCACGTCATGACCTTCACCATCGAGGATGGTCTTAACGCCTTGTCTGATGTCATCTACCACCTCGAGACCTACGATGTCACCACCATCCGTGCCTCGACTCCCATGTACCTGCTCTCTCGCAAGATCAAGGCCATGGGCATCAAGATGGTCCTCTCTGGTGAGGGTTCCGACGAGATCTTCGGCGGTTACCTCTACTTCCACGGCGCCCCCAACAAGGAGGAGTTCCACACCGAGTGCGTCCGCCGCGTCAAGAACCTTCACTTGGCCGACTGCCTGCGCGCCAACAAGTCCACCTCCGCGTGGGGTCTTGAGGCCCGTGTGCCCTTCCTCGACAAGGAGTTCCTCGAGGTGTCGATGAACATCGACCCTGCGGACAAGATGATCAACAAGGAAAGAATGGAGAAGTACATTCTCCGCAAGGCTTTCGACACCTCGGACGACCCGACCGCCGAGCCCTACCTTCCCGACAACATCCTCTGGCGCCAGAAGGAGCAGTTCTCTGACGGTGTCGGATACGGATGGATCGATGCCCTCAAGGACAATGCCGAGCTCCACGTCACCGACGAGATGATGAAGAACCCCAAGCCTGAGTGGGGCAGCGATATCCCTGACACCAAGGAGGCCTACTGGTACCGCCTGATGTTCGACGAGCACTTCCCCCAGTCGTGCGCGTCGACCGTCATGAGGTGGACACCCACATGGTCCAAGCAGACGGATCCCAGTGGCAGGTGAGTTGAACTTTGGTTCTGAATGGACGCGGTTTGAGAATTGATACTGACGTGGCTTTTACAGAGCTATCTCGATCCATCAGGCCAAGTATGAGGATGCTTAAATGTCTTTCCCATCATTTTTGTATATGAGTCATGGCTTCCGGAGGGTCTGGTATCTAGCAGGGCGTCATGTCAAAAGATAGGGTGAGGGATGCGTTGAAGTACAGCACAGCTAGCCTGTGAGAATGCAAAAGCTCTGAAAAGTTCATTTTGGTGCAGGGTTTTTGATGGTTGAATTGCCTTGGCAAGGCATATCCGTAGATATGCAGGCTGTGAGGTTGGGGGTGATGGGCAGGAGGGAATGCAATGCAGATATCAACCTGATAAAACCTGGGGAAGAAGAGCCAAGCTCTCAAAGCTGGAGCCAAAGTGTCTGCATAGAGGAAACAGCCGCCAATATGCTTAGCGGATTCATCCACGTGGAGGACCTTGACATAAACTACCACTCTATATGAACAAGGGGTTCTGTTAAAGGGAACAAACAAATAACTGCCTTGAAAAACATTAAATATAGGTAATGACCAAAAGATTGCTCAGACATGCCATATTTGCATCTGGTTGTTGAAATAGGTCTCTCAAGTCTCAATATCGTGGATAGACACATACCTGTCGTCTCTCGGGATAGCATACAGATCGGCAGGATGGTCTTTCTTGAGAATCTGGCTTGTAGACAAAGTAACTGCAACCTCAAGTCAAGCAAATATGAAACAAACGACAGTGCAACTGAGGCAATGCCCCCAAGTCACAACGGCCAAGAGGAAGCCATTGACTGATGTGTTTCAAGGGTTAGGGTAATCCCAGGCGATGGCAGCCGTTGCTGCTGGAACTTGGCACTTCCCACCTGGGAGCGATGGCCCAATCACGGTGGAGAAAGAAATTTGGCAGTTCCGATACTTTACCTTCCCAACATTTCCACGCCTTTCGAGTTCCACCGTCCGACCTAGTCTCTACAAGTTTTCTTGTTTACTTTGTTTGCTCGTTATCACCAGTTAAACACACACAATCATCATCAAAATGGCTGCTGTCCCTGCCTACTCCGATATCGCCAAGGCGGCGAACGATGTACGTCTTACTCCCCCCATGGCTGTTGTTGGCGAAGGGGGGTTTGATAGAGCGGCATTTCCAAAGCTTGCCTATGCGCCCTCGCCCACAGCGACACCACCGGCCACAACACTTGCGCATAACCAATTGCTAACTCTCGGGGTCAACCCGCACTCATGTAGCTCCTTTCCAAGGATTTCTACCATCTCTCCTCCGGCAGCCTTGAGGTCAAGGACACCACCCCCAACCGCGTTGCCTTCAAGGTTACCGGCAAGAGCAGCCACGATGCTGCCACCTCCGGCGCTGTACGTACACTCCTTTGAGACACTGCACACGAGGACACTGGCTAACCGCGTCCGCAATAGATCGAGGCCAAGTACTCTGACAAGTCCACCGGTGAATACGCCCCGCCCCCCGCTGTCAATCTGCCAATATATCGGGAACCCCTCGATTGCCATGCGGTGCTCAGCCGTATCAGAGGACCCAGGCTACACAAGGCCCCTGTTTAGTGGACAGTGGTTCTTTCACCAGGCAATACACAGCTGCTAACGTCCTGGCACCGTGCAGGCGTGACCGTCACCCAGACCTGGAACACCGCCAACGCTCTCGAGTCCAAGGTTGAACTTGCCGACACCCTCGCCAAGGGTCTCAAGGCCGAGGGTATCTTCTCCTTCCTCCCCGCCTCCCAGGCCAAGGGTGTCAAGGCCAACCTGCAGTTCAAGCAGTCCAACTTCCACGGCCGCGCTTTCGTCGACCTCCTCAAGGGCCCCACCACCAGCATCGATGCCCTTATCGGCCACGAGGGCTTCCTCGCCGGTGGTTCCGCTGCTTTTGATGTCCAGAAGGCTAAGATCACCAACTACTCCCTGGCCGTCGGTTACCACGCCCCTACCTACAACGCCGCTGTCACCGCCACCGACAACCTGAGCGTTTTCTCCGCCAGCTACTACCACAAGGTCAACAAGCTTGTCGAGGCTGGTTCCAAGGCCACCTGGAACTCCAAGACTGGCAACACCGTTGGTCTTGAGGTTGCCGCCAAGTACCGCATTGACCCCGTTTCCTTCGTCAAGGTTAGTCTCCTGAGGATTTGCTTGTTTGTGTGACAAAACTGACTTTGAAAACAGGCCAAGATCAACGACCGCGGTGTCGCCGCCGTTGCCTACAACGTCCTCCTCCGTGACGGCGTCAAGCTCGGTCTCGGTGCCTCTTTCGACACCCAGAAGCTCGACCAGGCCACCCACAAAGTCGGCACCAGCCTTACCTTTGAGAACTAAGTTTGATATCCCCGGGATTGTTGTAAAGGTCGGGAGTTGGGGACAAGCCATGGCGTTGAATGATTCTCTGTTGTTTTTCTGAAGAATGAGGATACAACATCAATCACCGTGTGTGTGTGTGTGTGTATCGATTAGACGAAAATAAATGGATCACGATGATCAGGGCAAACAAACGTTAGAGTTGGGTCCTTAGCAGGATGAGCATGATTTGTATGAATTCTGCGATCTTTCCAACAGTGCCAATTAATATGATTAGGATATCTCACGTTCGTTTATGTGGCGTGCGTGATGCTGCTTGACATATCTCACGGCAACTAGCCTGGGATTATGCTTCACCGAGGTTTTCAAAGGACTCTTGTTGGCTTTTGTTCTCATTGTTAAGTATCATATGTAATCTCATGTAATGTATATACGACAAAAACAGCAAGTAAATAAATGACTTGGCCATGAATCAGGGGGGTGTTGTTTACATCATTACCAACACCCCCCCCCCCACACACACACCCCCCTTTCTTTCTATCTTACACTCTTGATTCACTCTCTTTTTCGGGCTCTACCTTCCAAGCCCACCTCCAAACCCCCCTATCAGCATCGCGCCCACAACACTAGCAGCCACGCACCCGCTCAAGACAAAAAAAGTCCCAATCATGCTGTCATCCGCGTCCAAGCTCAACCCCCTCCGCTTCATGGCCCTCTTTGCCCGCCGTTCCTCATGCCGCCTGTGCGTCCGCTGATGAGAATGCGGGTCAAAAAACGGGTTCGATCCGGTGTTGGTCCCGTACCCGAACCCCCCAAAGCCGTATTTATAATAGGGATCCTGACCGAAGCCCATCCCGGGGTTGGATTCAGGGCCGGTGGTGTTCTCCCATCCTTGGTGGTCTTTTGCACTGGTGTCTTGTCTGGCATGTGTTTTCCCCTCTGGCGAGCCCTGCTGGGCTGTTGAGCTCTCGTGGGCAGCGCGTCGTTTTGAGGCGTGAGCGCCCCACCCCCCTGACTTGTAGAATGAAGGGGGGGGGCCTTGGAAGGCGGTTTTCCGACGGGAGGATAGACCTGAGGGGGGGCGGCCGCCAGCTGGGTTGCTGGAGTGGTAGGATCCCGACTTTGGGGCGTGGGGGTGGTGCTGGTGGGCGTAGCGGGGGTTTGTGGCGCGGGAGCGGTCGTATCTGGCGCGGTTTGCCGGGTGGGAGAGGATGGTGTAGGCTTCCGAGATGCGCATGAAGCGGTGGGAGGAGGAGGGGTCGGAGGGGTTGTGGTCGGGGTGGTGGAGTTTGGAGAGGTGGAAGTAGCTTCTGAAGGGTACCGTTAACAACCATTGGGAGGGGGGATATGGTACATAAGGGAGGCGGACTTTTTGATCTCGGCTGGGGAGGCGGAGGGGTGGACGTTTAGGGTCTCGTAATGGTCATGGGTTGAGTCGTCTGGGTTGCTGCTGCCGGCAGGGGCGCGATCATGGCGGGAGGAGTGAAAGGGTCGGCATGGTTGGGGGTTGTTGACAAGAACATGGTGAGGAGGGTTGGCGATATGGCGTGGGATCGCGCTGCGCGGAGGATGGTAGTAACGGAATGGCATTCCTCATCCCGATTGTTGAAGGGGCTGTTATGTCGAGGTTTGGTGATGTTGTCGGCCTCGTGTAAGTCGAGACGTTGGGAAAACGCTCCACCTTGAATTGGCACCAGTGACGAAATGGATGCGCGAGAGAACGGAGACTGAGGTCCAATTGTGGCTTGTCACGGCTGTCAAACCTGCAAATTTGTGGCTCTTGCCCAGCAAACGCCGCACTTGCCCCGCGATTGGTACCAAGCTGCACGCCCTGCCAAGAACAACGGAAAAAAAGAAGCGGGGCTTTTCTGACTTGCCATCACTTTGGATCAGGCTTTTGGCTTCCTTCAACTCTCTGAATTATTTCACATAGTTGAAAGCATAAAATCACATATTTGAATCTCACAATGGCGGCTCAAGCGCCGGTAGATGAGATCGCGCAGCTCAGCGGTAAGCTCAACCTCCACCGGGAGACTGTCAAAGCGTGGCAGCAACTGATAGGATGAGGGAGAAAAGTGAGCGATGCGGCTACCACAAAGCCCAAGCCAGGTCTTGATTCGGCTACCGCCACCAATGGCAACCTGAACCGTGACAGCGATGATTCCGACGACGACGCGGAAAATGCTGCCCCGGGCGCTGAGACGGGGGCCGCCAAGAAGAAGAAGAAGAGAAAGCCGAAGAAGAAGAAGAAGAACCCCACGGCCCAGTCCGACCCCCCGCGGGTTCTGATCTCGCAGCTCTTTCCCGACAAGGTGTACCCCAAGGGCGAGGAGGTGGAATATGTGAACGAGAACAGATATCGCACCACCAACGAGGAGAAGCGCCACCTCGACAACCTCAAGAATGACTTTTACAATGACTACCGTCATGCTGCTGAGGCCCACCGCCAGACTCGCCAGTGGGCACAAAAGAACATCAAGCCTGGCTGGTCGCTGACTGACATTGCCAACGGCATTGAAGACAGCGTCCGTGCTCTTGTTGGTCACCAGGGTCTTGAGGAGGGTGATGCTTTGAAGGCAGGTATGGGTTTCCCTACTGGCCTCAGTCTCAACCACTGCGCTGCCCACTACAACCCCAACGCTGGAAACAAGATGGTTCTCCAGCAGGATGATGTCTTGAAGGTCGATATCGGCGTGCACGTCAACGGCAACATTGTCGACAGTGCCTTCACCTTGGCTTTCAACCCCCGTTATGACCCTCTTCTCGAGGCTTGCAAGGCGGCCACCAACGAAGGTCTCAAGCAGGCTGGTATTGATGCCAGACTTGGCGAGATTGGTGGGTACATCCAGGAAGTCATGGAGAGTTACGAGGTTGAGCTGGACGGCAACACGTACCAGGTTAAGCCGATCCGCAACCTCAACGGACACACTATCCTCCCATACAACATTCACGGAGGCAAGAGCGTGCCCATTGTGAAGAGCAACGACCAGACCAAGATGGAGGAGGGTGATGTCTTCGCCATCGAGACCTTCGGTAGCACTGGCAACGGCTACGTGCACGAGGAAGGTGAGATCTCTCACTACGCAAAGAGAATGGATGCGCCCAAGGTGGACCTCCGTCTCAGCTCAGCCAAGTCTTTGTTGAACGTCATCAACAAGAACTTTGGCACCCTGCCATTCTGCAGACGTTACCTGGACCGCCTTGGCCAGGACAAGTACCTGCTTGGCTTGAACAGCCTCGTTGCCAACGGGGTTGTGGAGTCTTATCCTCCTCTGGTGGACAAGAAGGGTTCATACACAGCACAGTTTGAGCATGTGAGTATTTCTTTCCCTTGCGCGAGAGACTGCGGAAACTAACGAGTGACAGACCATCTTGATCCGACCTACCGTAAAGGAGGTCATCAGCCGTGGAGATGATTACTAGAGGAGGTTTGAGCATCGTTTGGTTGGTCTGACAGCATGAAACCTGCCAGGCCAGGCCTGATGCCACAACAAAATATGTGCAAAGTCTGAAATGACCCTGCTAGCAATACCATTCACGGTCTTGAGTTTGATCTCCTAAACAAACAAGTCTTTAGAAATGCCAAGCATTCTCAACACTATGTGAATTATAGACTGGGATTCCACGCAAAACTTTCCTGCCAGGTGTTTCCCAGGCACTTCAGGTCCAATCCCACGTGCCCACCTTCTCCTTGTATCCTAGGTGAGACTGTAAGGTGAGTTGGCAAGCGTGCCCCACTGCTTCCACGCGTGGAAGTGAATATCCACGAAGCGTTCCAACCAAAGACACCGAACGGGCCGGGTCCGGACCGAGGGAGCATTCTCCACCCGGATCCGTTCCGTAGGTCTGCAAACGGCGTCACTTCCGTGCAACATGTGAAAATCGCAACTGGGACTTCTACGGGGTTCGGGATCGTCGCCGTGTTCTAAAGTCCTGACGCCGTGATGAAGTCGGCGGCTGACGATAGGAAAACATCGGAGCCACCGACGCATGCACGAAGGGTTAACAATGACGGCACTGACAGCTATCTGGGGGCCAGCGCCCACCGTCAGAGGCAAAATGACATATCCGTTGTTACCGCTTGCAAACGTGGGGGTAACGCTCGGCATTCCCATTGGGCCGATTGGGTTCGAGAACGGTCGACGGTCCCCGCACCGTTCCGATTCTTTTCATCATCGCTCCCCTCTTCTTGGGTATGACAGGGATGCATCGCCCCCCTCCTCTCCCTCAAAGATTTTGCGCCTGCTTGTGCCTGTCAGTGCCTGTCAGTGCCGAGCAGGGACCGGGACGGGGGAGGCGCTCCTCTTATCGGCCAGTCCCAGAAAGAAAATCTTCAGGTGTTAAAAAAAAGCCCGCAAATTCCGGGGCCCCCCCCCATCTATCTCCTCCCTTCGGCTCCATCTTACCAATAATTTTTCTGCCTCATATCTTTTTTGCCTCTGTCATTTTTTTTTTGCATGTGCCACAGAGCGAACGGGTCTTTGCGCCTTTGAAACAAACCAAAAAACGAAATACAGCACGACGGAGCATTTATTCACTTGATACTTGGCAACGCGAAAGGTCGATTGTCAAATTCGTTGTTTCGCAACCACCTGCAATTGATTTTTCACCCTCCCTCTTTCTGCGCGGCGTTCACCAACCCCCCCCCTTCTCGCACGCGATCGCGAAAATCGGAGATTCGGTACGGTCGGCGATCCTTTAGACGCCCAACCAACAAACGGAAAACCACTCTCTGACTGAGAGCACATCCTCAAGAAAACACCGACAAAATGAAGGTCTTTTCCAACACAGAAACCTTCAACTACTCCTGGGAGGAGGTATCAACCGCCAACTGGCGGAAATACTGCCCATGGAACGACAAGTCCACCCACGTTCTCGCCGTCGACACCATCAGCCGGACCGTCGACCCCGAGACTGGCATCCTGCGCACAGAACGCCTCATCACCTGCAAGCAGAGCATGCCTGAGATCTTGAAGAAGATCCTGGGCGCCGGCATGGAGGATCAACAAGTTTTTGAGACGTCCTATGTCGACCCAAAGCAGAGGACCGTCACCATGGTCTCGGAGAACATCACATGGAACAACCTTCTCAACGTTCAGGAGACGGTTGTCTACAGACCACTCAATGACCATCAGACATCCTTCGAGCAGGCGGCCAAGATCACCGCTCTGTGCGGCGGGTGGCAGAAGATTAAGAACAGCATGGAGGACGCGCTCGTCAAGAGGTTTCGCGACAACGCTGCCAGGGGCAAGGAAGGGTTCGAGGCTGTGCTTGCCATGAGCAGGAGGGTGTTCGCCGAGGAGCAGCAGCGGGAGAAGATGATGCTCATCCAAGCCCAGGCCGTCAACATCCGCATGGCTGCTTAGGAGGCTGCCGTCGACTGCAACGATATTGAAGTTGATGGTGAGCACGACAGCAGCACCGGCGATGACGAAAATAGCAACATCGCCTTCAACGTGGATGACCGCTGTCATCGGGAGAAAACGGAGCAATTGAAAGAGTGTGACGGCGCAACCACCAACAAAGCCCGACGAACAAGAAGCACAACAACAACGGACCATCAACTGGGAACAACGCCTTCAGGACAAAGACGTCATCCCGGGGGTCTCATCACCACCACTAGCATGTTTTGCCCTACACCACGGGGCTGGTTACGGAAAAAGGGTCTTATTTCACACTATCAAAAAGGTGGCCGCGGGATAGAGGGGATTTATTACACTGGGCTGGAGCTTTGGCGTCGGGGCTTCTTTTACTTCTGAGCATTTTCGCAACTGTAACATCATCAAGGGGTTGTTTTTTTCTTTGCTTTTCCCAGCTTTTACCTCTCCTTTTGTCACTCTGTGCGTTTCTTCATTCAAAAGGAGTTCTGGGGAAAAATACCCCGATGTTGATTTTTGATTTTCATGCCTTTCTTTGTATTGTCTACACGGATAGACGTTTTGTTTTAGAGGGCTTGCTTTACAAAAGAGGAGCATTAGACAGTTTATAGAACTGGTTGCGGTGTGCTTTCGCGTTTGAGGAGATAGAGGAGGAAGATGGTGGTGAAGAAGATGAAGAGAAAGAATGGGAAATGAAATGGACACTCTCCGCTGTGCTGGTTTAATTGGTTAGACCCTTGTTTGCCTAGTAGTTTGCCTTCCTAGCTTCTTTTATGATCATGATTCATGGTTTCATGACTGTTGTCTTTTTGTTCGCTGGGTTTCTTGAATACTGGGTGATGCGGTATATCATTGTGACGACTCCAGTTTTGATTTACATCTCCCCTCATACTTGCGCAGTAGCTCCCTCGTCTCCAGGTCTATTTTTTGTTCTCCCCCGTCAGCCATTATCTTTTTCACGAACCCTATCCCGTCGGAGTAGCGTCGGTAGAAATACAACTCCTCCACTGCGTGCAGCAAGTCTTGGGCTTGGGGTTTGCTAATCAGACCGCCGCGGTTGGCGTCTGGTTCGGGGGTGAGAGGGAGAGGGATTTGAGTCCATAGCTGTGTTGCGGTGATTAGTAACTTGTTCTGATGGGGATGGGATGGGGGGGTGAGGGGCATACATCGCCGTTCTCGACTCGGGGGAAATATTCTTTTTTCAGGGCTGCAAACGCTGACTGTGAGAGAGCGGAGCGGTCAGCTCGGGAGACGGGTTGTTTGGCGGGGCAGGAGGCGAGGTCTTCGGGGTCGGAGTCGGAGGAGGAGCCTAGGTTGAGGTTGAAGAGGAGGTCGTCTGCCATTTTGGGATGCGGGCAACTCCGCTGAAGGAGCTGGAGGATAAAATTTGATGAGAGCAACTTGAGGAGGTCTGGTTAATTGTAAATATTTTGAATGTGAGATTGCTGTGAGAACAAAAGTTGAGATTGTGGGCGAGTCAAGTGAGTGAATTGTAAAAGTTGAGAGGTGAGGTTGATGGATGGAGCTTTTCGGCAACGGCGCCGTGGCGGAGTCACCGCTTTGAACCTCCGCTCCGGCGATTCCCCCCGAGAGCTGCTGTCTCCGCACCGGCGAGTTCAACTTCGTCTTCAACGACAACTGTTCGGAAAGCTGGGGCTTTCTAACGTTCATATTGTAACTGTGTTTTTTTTTTCTGGTTTTCGAATGTGGTGTAAACTGACAAAAACTCGGCATTTGCATCCGAGTTTGCAGCTGCTGCATTGCTTGCTCTGAACCCAATCCTCGAGCGACTCCGAAGCACAAACTACACTTCCCGTCGGCACCTTTCACTTACACCTTGAATTATACCACACTTCCCCAAGTGTAGTTGTTTTGTACGCCATTACCGCAATGGACGAGCACCTCGCCCAAATCGTCTCCCTCGCCCAAGCCAAATTCAAGTCAACACCCCCCAACCGTCGGCTGTGTAAGTCCCCTTCCTCCTCCCCATCTCACACACCCCCATCAAACTAACCGTCCCAAAAAGTAATCGGCATCTCCGGCCCTCCCGGCTCCGGTAAACCTCCCCATGCTCTCCAACACCCCCCCCCAAGTAATTAAACCAAAAAAAATAAAAAATAAAATAATATTTAAATAATACAAGACCTCAAACAAGAGATAAGAGAACCCTTACAAACTATTATACGGTATTGGGCGACATTTATCTCTATCTATTCACTCTCATATCGATAAAAAGAAAATAAAAGATACTAAACAATCATGTAGATAAATAAATAATATGTGGGACGATTTG